AGAACTCTTTTGCAAAAAAAACCCTTAAAATACAGCACAGGGTCCTGAAATTGAAGCTTCTAAAAATAAATGTGGGTGAAAACAATACAAATAGCATGAGCAAGTGCAATGGGAAACTTGCAGGAAGCTAGACACAGCCCTAACACCTGAAAAGCCAGAAGCCTGACACAGTGAGGCCAGTATATGAGGAGTCTGAAGAAAGATATGGCCACCTTGGGAAAGTTAAATGAATGATTTGCATCAGTCCTCCCTAGGGAGGACTAACGGGGTCTTCCTTTAACAAAATTAGCCTTCATCAGGAGAGAGAGTGGAGCTGTCTCAGACTCCTGCCAGATGTGGAGACCATAAAACAAATAGCACCCCATCATGGCAACTCACTGAAAACAGAAAAAACTCAAACTGAAAAGTTAATTAATGCCTAAGTCTGTTGCTTGAACCGATTGCAATACCAAAGGAATAAAAGGAGACAAACAAGACACCAGCTTGTTTTCTTGGGTTTTTTAAGAGCCAAAAATGAAGGTAGACCCAGAAAAACAAAGAGCAGTCTGTCTAGTCACTGATCAGGAAACGAGCAAAACTATTTTAAAGAGAAGACTTACAAGTGATAATATCACAAGGAAATCACACTTCAAAAATCAGAGCTCTGTCAGAATCAAAGAACTGGGGATCCAGTAACTGAACATATTTTATTTCCTAAAATGTTTTGTTGAGGTTCCTTCCCCAGTGCTGTTAAAGAAATTAAACTGCCTTGACTAAAAGGATTAAGATCATGGATTAATAACTGGCCAACGTGAGAATCCACTCATAGGAATACATAAGCAAGTTCCAGGAGAGGGAGAGTAAATAAAAAACCCTGTGCTGGAACCTGTTTAATTCAACATGATCCCAATTTCTCTACAGTTAAAAGTTAACCATTAAGTGAAAATCTGACAGCTATCCAGGCTTTGGTTTACTCTAAAGATAACTGCAGAGAGTTGCAAAAACATTTAAGTGAGCGGTTGATTAAGCAGGCCAATAAAAACTGATGTCAATGAAGTCCAAAGCAATTTGATTAAGAAAGAAAGTCACAATGGGCTTGAGTTTGGCTGCTGCTGCCGTATGAGAGAATCCATGAGTCATGGACAGGGCTTTGAAACGTCAGCCAGGTCAGAGTTCAAGAGAATCTTACAAACTCTTGAAGAAAGCAAAAAGAGACTAAGACAAACACTAGTTCTACAGTATTCAGAATTTGTTGCACCCCTGTTTGCCCTGTTTCATAAATGTACTTTGGAATCAGAAGAGTACGGGAAGGGGAGAAAAGGAAGGCTGGAGTGACCAAGCAGCTTCTGTATGAGCACTGTACGTAGTCAAGGACTCTTCAGCCTGGAAAAAGAAGAGCAGGGATTTTGTAGCACACTAAAATTGTGAAATGTAGAAACTGAAGAGGGAGGAAAAAAATATCTATCTGCTACTCAGTCTGAAGAAATACCTACACTGTCAGTTTAGTTTTTATTAGGCAGGTCTAAAGCAAAGCTTGAAGTATTTCTTTTACCACAAGTTGTAGGACCTAAGATGTGTACATGGTGAATAACAAACTGCAAACAAGACCCGTATTTCTGAGCATCTAACTTGTGGACGTTGAATACAGTAGTTCAGAGGCAGCTTTCAGCCCAGAAAAAGCTCATCTCTGGACGGGTTACATGCTAGCTGCCACATTTCAGCCTGCCCTACTGCTGCTGGTCAAAGCATTTACACGGCTGTGGTCTGTAGCAAATCACTCCAGGCCTGCCAGCACAGGGAAACAGTTGTGCCAATGCACAAACTTACTTTGCATTTGCTATGTCCACTATTATATTAAGACTGTGTTGTGCATCATCTTCCACATAGTCACTCAGTGCTAAAATTCACTCGGAGCTGGCAATACCAAGTATATTGTAAACTACAGCCTGGGGTATGATACAGGAATTTCCCAAGGCAAGCCTCCTTCACAACTGAAGTAATCCCTGTCCCAGTTTTACAAGTAAGAACAGAGATAGAATATACTGTGTACATGCCATGTTTATAATATTTGCTAGTGTTTCCCCATAACCAGAAACAGGTAACAGATACACAACATTCCACTGTTCAAGTTAGATAAAAAGTGATGAACAGCATTCAGTGCGCTGGTTATCCACTCTAAGCAGGATGCCGCCCCAAATAGTTTATCAAAAATGTCTTATAATCCCTTTACACCTGAATTTGTACCTCCTGCCACACATGACCAAGAAGCCAACAGGACTTCCTTAGCTCCTAGCTTCCTTTGTGTAGGAAATACCTAAGTTTGCAGTCAGTTACAGCTAGAATTCCACTGGGGTGAATTTCTCAAGGATAAAGTACTACCAGGCCTACTAAAATACAGATTTTCTACTGAATTCTCATAGAAAACTCTAAAGAACTCGCTAAAGCCCAGTTTAACTTCCACTGAAGTATTGCAATGCCAGGCAACTGTAATAGCTCTTCCCTTCTCCTGAATTAGGTTGTGGACTGAATGACTCCCCTGTGGGGCTTGCTGCGTATATTTTGGAGAAATTCTCTACCTGGACAGATAAATCATTTCTGCAGAAAGATGATGGAGGCTTGGAAAGGTAAGAAAAGAGATGCTCTTCCCTAACAACATTCATTGAAAGACTGAGTGATGAAAACTGATGAGGCCAGAGGTAAAAGACTGACCAATTAAAGCTGAATAATGGAAGATTACATGTGACAAGCAGTAGTTTAAACTTATAGCAGATTGCCTGCAGGCTACTGCTTGAACACCAGGTAGTTTCGGTCTGGGTACATGGATGTCAATTTGCTGCTTGAATACAAGTGGAGAACAAGAGGAAATGAGGGCATTTCAGGGCAAAATGATAATACAGCATACCGAGAAACAGCTTCCAATGAAATTTCTTCATCTTTCTCACTCAACAGCAAATACACTCTTGATGAGCTTTTGACCAATGTGATGATTTATTGGGTGACAGCCTCCATTGTGTCCTCCATGCGATTCTACAAGGAGAACATTACCAAGGACCCTGATCTAAGTGCTATTTCCAGGTAACATGAAACCAAAACCACCAAGTTCTGCTTACATTTGATAAATATAGTTAAGGGTCACTTTTCTTTCAAATTATAATTCACACAGGAGCTTGTGGCCAAGACAATGCAGACTTATCCAAGTATTTTCAGTCTTGTTGGTGATCAAAATATAGGTCATATACTTATTCATCAAACAAATGTAATCTGTGGCTCAGTTCGGTAAAAAGCAGACAGAAAAACATGAGCATTTTTAAAAGAGAAGTTTGATATTGATTAGGAAAGATGAGGCTCACTGGTGGATAAACTAAAAGCTACAAATCTTGAGTAGAATCTTGGGGAAGCAATTTGGAGAGCAGTACTTGAAACATAGCACCTTCTGACAGCTGCTGGCTTTAAGATGAATCTGAGAGGCTGAGCAGGAAAATGCTATTGAGCAGAATTCTCTAAGTGATTGATCATGCAAACGAATAGAAGAGTCCTTTTCTCTGTAGACTGAACCAGTTTACCTTTCCCCTCAAGAGAGTCATTTCTTGCACTGGCACCATGAATTCTAAAGCAAGCATGAGCCAGCTGGTTTCTGACTTCCCAGAAGTGTGACATCTTGCCATACATCGCAAAACATATACAAAACAAGGCAAGTTAAAAAATCTGAAACGTTTCAAGACTGAGCTGGGTGCACAGCTGGCTCTGCTTTGCTCTTTGGGTACAAGACTTTTAAAGTCAAGGAGATCTAAATGAAAGCACAGCACAGTGCAAGACCACAAAACAGTTTGTTGTGGTAAACTTCCCCAGCTGACTGCGGCAGTTAGAGTCAGAAGGGGTTTACAGACTTTCCCCACTACTTGCTCCAAAAATGCAGTTAACCAATGTCTTCTAGGGTTGGAGTGTATGTTCCCACAGGGATTGCAGCCTTTCCTCAGGAGATAACACATACACCACAAGTCTGGACAAAGGAAGCCTACAAGAACATCATTACTTACTCTTACATGCCACGTGGAGGGCATTTTGCTGCCTTTGAGGAACCAAAGCTTCTGGCACAAGATATCATGAACTTTGTCAGAAAAGTGGAACACCTGTGAACCTGCAGTTTCAATATGTACACAGAATGGAGGCAAGTTGGTTTGCCATCAGCAGAACCTTCACTTTGCCAGATAATAAATCCGATGCAATTGCATGTAGAAGACAGCATTTTATTTGGATAGCAATTATAGTACTAAATTTGTTAATTAAACTCTAAAAACCTTAAGAAAAAAAAAAAACTTAAAAACATCTTGTCTTCTTTCATACCCAGCACATCCTTGCTGCATTCAGAGTTCAAGTATAACAGAATATGTAAACAGTTTAACGCAGTAACATTGCACTCATCTGGGGAAGAGAATAGCAAGGAATGGGGCCCTTGTTCCTCAGAAGCAAGTCTTCTCTTCAAGAGCTTATGCAGAACTAGCAGCTTTGGTGGAAGAGTTTTGATCTCCTGAGCACACACTCCTATGTTCAAATTATGCTTCATTCAAGAGACCTGTGGTTATATATTCAAGTAGATAGCTGCACATAAGACTGCCTTCTTCATTCTGGCAGTTCTTCCCCTAGAGCAAGCTTTAGCAGTTACTACACATTGTAAGCGGTTCTTAAAGAACAGGCAGAGACAGCACCCCTAGTGGACTCCAAGCTCAAAATTATCAATGTAATTTCCTCCTAGTTTTATTATCTCATTCCATTCCAAAAGGACAAAGTTAAAAATATGCATCAAGTGTAGAGCGCATCAACCTTTACCCTCCTTTCAAAAGATTTTTACCACCCTCCTGTGCAATATTTGCTATCGGGAAACTGCAAGTGATCTCGCTACTGGTATGATTGGGTTTCTCTCCAAACAGGATAGAGCTCTAAGAAGACAGATGAACACAGGCGAGCTAAATGAAGACAGTAGATGCCCAGGATAATAGAACCAGATAGACAAGAAGACAAGGTTATATTTTATAAAGTTATCATGACTTAAAGCAGCACCAAAGGTTATTGAATATTCTATAAACATTCTACAGAGCACACATCATTCATGAAAGCCTTTGAGTGTCACTGGTGCTTGAAACCAGATGTAGTCCTCCCAGTCGGAAGTCACATGCTGAGCAGGCAAGGCACTTATGTTGATGTCTCCATCACAGGACAAATTCACAGTTAGCTTCCTCCCTCGAGTTGGCACTTTATAGTTGAGCTTGGGCCGGAACCAATCAACACCACAATCGCGGTGTCCCTGGAGCATAACAACAGTGCCCATGGCAGGGAGAGCCTTAAGTTCACTGAAGACATCTGCAACAAACAGCGAATGGAACAGCTTGCGAACACAGGATGCAGTTTTCAGGCTCTCTTCAGCACTGCCTTCAAGGATGCCCTCCAAGTTGAGCTCATAGAACTCCTTGGGCCTCATGACATTGCCTCCAAGTAGAATAAGAACCCGAGGAACCACTGTCAGACTAAACATTACTTCCAAGTGCTGGAGCACTCTCTCCAGCTCCATCAGCACCTGCTGGCACTTCCTGCTTGCCGGGTCCATGGGGAGTGGCTTCTTAATCCCATCTCCATCCTGGGGAAGAAGAAAAAAAAAGAAAAAAAAAAGAAAAGGAAAAAAAAAAAGAGAATTAGTGTATTTAATTATTAGGACACATTAGTCCTAATACACTCTTCAGAAAGTATAGCCCATCCCTGAAAGTCAAGGAAAGCTCAACTGTTTTATGCTCCTTTCAAAAGATATAGGCATCCACATACAGAATCAGATCAGAGGAACACACAAAAGGACACTCTATAGCTACTCAGTTTGAACCTGACTCACAGAACTGATCAATTCCCACAAGAATTAGAAGCCGCATGTTTTGAAGAACAGTTATCACTAGTGTCCTGGTTTCAGCTGGAATAGGGGTATCCCATACAACAGCACATCATGTAAACTGGGGGGAGTCACCCAGAAGGTGCAGATCACTGCCTGGGTAAGGCTGAGTATCAGCTGGCAGATGGTGAGCAATTGTATTGCTTATCACTGCTGCTTATTGCTTGTTTTTCCTTTACCCTTTTAGTTTTAGAATCTCTCTGCTTGCCATTTCCCTTATTATTATTATTAGCAGTAGTACTATATTGTTCTTAACCCATGGGGTTTATATTCTTTTGATTTTCCTTCCCACCCCAGCTGAGCAGTGGGAGAGTGAGCAAATTGCTGTGTGGTGCCCAGTTACCATCTGGGTTTAAACCACGACTCCAAATCACCCGATTTTTTTTTTCCTGAAGAGCTGTTAGAGTAACAAACAAAACAGTGACATGCGTTAAGCATAAAGCAGAACAAGAAATAAACAGTAACTTATTGAGACCTTCGGCCCCCAATCTACAGCTTTGCCTTTTTTGTTTTGTTTAGCAACTTTTAAGGTTACAGCTATAAGGAGCACTTCAGACTCAATGACCAGGAGTTACCGACCCATAACGGTTAACTGACAGGCAGCACTTTAAGGCCGCGGGCACGGCTGCCCCCAGCGCATGGCTCCGCTCCCCCGACCACCCCCTTCGCCACCACGGCCCCTCACCTTAGCCGCCCGCCGGCAGAAGTAGGCGAGCTGCTCGTAGGGCAGCGGGAGCTGGTGCCGCTGGTGCATGACGTGCTTAAGGAGCTCGCAAGCGAAGAGGCAGCGGCACTCCCGGGTCACCGCGCCCGGGAACACCACGGACACCAAGGGGCAGGCCACCGCCAGCTCACTCCTCCGGGGCATCACCCTGCCGCCGCGCTTCAGGCCCGGGGGGGTCTCAGGAAGAAGCAGTGAGGACGCTGGGGAGACGGGAACAGCCAGAGCACCGCCAGACGCCATTTGCAGATCGCCAGCCAGCTGCGATTTGAATGGCCGCGGCCGCAGTGCAGCATGGGAGTGACGGAGCTCCCGCCCACAACGGCTTGCTGAGGCGCATGCGCCGTGCCCTGTGGGGCGGAGGCGTGTTCCGGCTCGGGAGGGGCGTGGGCAGCTCAGCGCCGGGCCCTCAGGCTTTGCTGCCTGCGGCTTGGCCAGCAGCGCCGGGGCAGGCGGAGCGGAGCGGCTGCTGCTGCTGCTGCTGCTGCTGCTGCTGCTGCTGCTGCTGCTGCTGCTGCTGGGGGTTACGAGCGCCGCACTGAGGAGGCACCGCAGTGGCTGCGGCAAACTGGGTGCCCCAGTCCGGCCGCGGGCACCGTGAGCTGCGGCTGCCACGTCGCAGGGCTGCCCAGGCGGCTCCGGAGAACTCGCGGACTGGGTTTCCCGGCGTCCAGAGCACGACCGGCAGGTGCGCGGCAGTGAGGGGGCAAAGCCCCGCCGGGGACCGCTGAGTTCCCTTCACCCCTGCCGGGCAGCCCCGCTGGCTCCAGTGCAGCGCAGAGGAGCACCCTCCGCCCCGCAGCGGGCGGGGAGCATGCCGTTAATGGGAGCTGCCGTGTTTGGAAACAACGTGGCCGCAGCCCCATTGGGTGCCGCCTCGCCACACCGCGGAGGGAGGGCGGTCCCTGCCGGGTGGCGGGAGGAGCCGCTGTCCTGTGCTGGCGGAGCGAGGTTAGCGTGCTAGAGCAGTGGCTGCCTGCTGTAAGTGCCACGAACCGTGAAAGTTTAACAAACACTAATAAAGAGTAGCCCTCCCCAGGGGATGCGGTGGAGAAACACTCGGTATGGGCATGCTTCGGGCGGCAGAAAGGGCTTTTGGTCCTGGCGTATCGTTCCCCCGCCCCGGCAGGAGATAAAGGCTCCTTTGAGGTAGCTCCGTGCTGGGCTGCTGCCTCCACGTATTTAATCGGCACCCCAGTGCCAAACACCTCCAAAAACGCCCGTCAGAACGGGTGCTGATAGCTCGCTGTCACCGAGGAGGGGACTCGCTGCAAAACGGGTGAAGTCCCGGAGGGGACGCCCGCTGGCACCGGCAGATCCCGGAGGTCAGGGGCTGGGGAGCCGGGGCGGGGAGCCCGGGCAGGGAGCGGGCGCCGCACCGGGGCGGCGGGGCCGTGCCGACAGCCATGGACTCACGGGTGTCGGAGCTGTTCGGGGGCTGCTGCCGGCCGGCGGGCGGCGGGGCTGGCGGGGCGCTCCGCGGGCGCGGGGGGGCCGCGCCCGGCGGCGGCGGCTCCAAGGCGAAGAAGAAGAACGGGCGGAGCCGTGGGGGAAAGGCCAACAACCCGCCGTACCTGCCGCCTGAGGTGAGCTCCCCCGGCCTGGCCGAGGGCCGCCGCGTCCCGTCAGCTGCAGTGGGGGTCTCCCCCCAGTCCGGGGCCTGGCGCCGCAGGGGCCCGCGCCGCTTCTGGCAGGGGCGGCTTGTGTCCTAAGAGGTCGGTGCGGCGCGGGCTGCCCCGCGCCCGGGCGGGTTCGGTAGCGGGTCAGGCGGGAGGCAGCTTCTGGAGAGGCTCGGCCGAGGGTCCCGGCGGTGCTGCTGCGAGGTCGTGCCGAGCTGGGCCAGCAACCCTGTGGGCCGTCCTGCGGCCCCGGCAGCCGAGTGCCCTGCAGCCCCCCGACCTGTCCTCCGGGGTTTGATGTGGCAGCGGGCAATGGTTGTGCCCCCAGTGCCAGCGGGCTCCCTGCGTGGTCTGCCAAGCCCTGTCCGTCAGAGGTATCTCGCTGCCTGGTGTCTGTCTGCCGTCTGGGAACTGAATGGCTTTGGAAACAATGCTTTGCTCAACTCGTAGTGCCGAGCATCTTGTTCGCATCTCTTCCCAAGAGCTGATCTGGTGCGTGTAAGTCCCTTTCCAGCTGCCAAACTCAGGCGTTGCTCAGCAGGTGCTAGTGACTCCTTTCACAGCTAATTTGGCAACTGTTTTCTTACATCTAAGAAAATGGACATGTAAATGGTACTGCGAGAGTGTGAGGCACTTGCCTCTTGCAGCAGGAAGAAGTGACATTGGTAGGAAATGGGTGTGTTGGTTAGTCTAATAGGACTGCCACTGTGGGGAGCATCATGTTGCCCCGGAGTCAATTGCTTGGCCTCACTCTGTAAGTCTTCTGTAAAAAATACCTAAGAGCCTGCGCTTGGAGGGAGCAATTCCTCCACAAGGCAGGGCTGTGACTCTTGGCAAGAAGGGAAAACAGCGCTTTGCTACTGTTAGATGTTCTCCACGGGCAGTACTGTACCCTGCAGCCGCGGTTCAGTTTTTGTTCCTTTGAGCTGGAGGCTGGACAGCCCCCTGTGGGTTCAGCACAGCTTCCTGTCCCTGACCACCCTGTGCAGTATGTGGCCCAGCAAGTCTAGGCTTGTTGCTTTGCTAGTCTCAGCCGCCTTGAAGGAGACCCACACCCTTATTTAAACGACAGCTCAGTATGTTAATGTGGTTTTCTTAGAGCTGGAAAGCTGGTAGATGGTAAGAGAGGAAGACTTCCACAAGCACCCTTTTCTCACTGCATAGCTCCGCTGCCTGAGAGCTAAGCTGACAATTACGAACTTCCCTCTGTTGGCCCTTTGCCACCCTAAGCAGTGCTGTGGTTAGGAGCTGAGCTAGAAGGCAAGGAGAGGACTATTGCCTCTCCTGACATGCAAACAGGTGTCCAGAGGAAAAGGAAGTGCTTAGGTTTGGTAGCCCCATTTAGTCTGCCAGAGTACTTGGCTTCCTGGAGGCTCCCGCCCTTTCTCAGTGGTCCTGATACTGAATCAGTGGGAAGATTACTTCAATACCAGCTACAGGTTCTCACTGGGAAGCTGGTGCCTGTTGTGGTTGTAGCAGACCTGATGAGTACACAGGCCTTTCTGTGAAACCCCAGCCTGGCTTCAGCCCTTCTGAGCATGTTGTATAGAGACGGTCCTGATCAGGCCTGGCTCTCCAGAACTGCCAGGCCAGTGACCAGCTTGCTGTTCTGCAAAGAATTCAGTAGCTTGCTTCCTTATGTTTGTAGTCCTTCTCTCTTGCAGAGAGATGATACACAAGGATATAGAAGGGAGTCAAAGAAAAACTAATTGGGGGAGGGTATGAGTGCACACAAGAGGAGGCAATGACTTTTGTTCCCAGTCCTCTGTTTCTGTGCACATTGGGTAGATGGAAGCTGCTGGATAGTGTGGGAGTGGGATGCTGTGGGTGGCACTGTGGGTCATGGGTGGGTGAGGGGGAAGACTCAATCATCTGCTGCCCTGTGCCTTTTTGAAACTGGAACTCTCTCTCTCTCTCTGGCTGTTAGACTGGCCCTATTCTTTACCAGCAGTAAAAAAATCCTCCCCAAACAGTATTGCCTCTGTGTCCCTCTCTAGTTTTGTCCTCTGGTTTTCATGACGTGAGATGCAAATAGTAGAAACAAACTGAAAGTAAGTTCCAGTTGAGTGTAGGAATGAATGGCAGAAGAGGCTGTGACCTAACATAGTGATTTCTGCCAATCTCCCTCTCTCTGAAACTGTCAGCACAAGTGGCAGAGTATCTGGGCAGCTGATGCCTATGGAAGTCCCTGCTGGCACAGCATCTAACCTTTGTGTCTCCTTTCGTTCTCTGACCAGGCAGAAGATGGAAACATCGAGTATAAGGTGAGCCTTTTGAGGTTGCAGAAGGAGGTCTTCCTCCCAGAGGGTTATGTTGCAGTGAGTAACTTCACCAAAGACAGCATGTGGGGAACATGTGTAAAGAAGGGATGGAAAAGTAGATACTGTACTAAGGAAGTATCAGTCATCTGTGTTTCTGTGCCTAGCTCACTATGCTGAGCTGGAAGAGTCTGATCTCAGGACTCATTTTTAGGAATTTGTTTTAGGAGAAGAGACCCACTGTGTTTTTCCTGAAATCTTACTCCTTTGGAGAGGGAGGTGCAGGTGTCACTGATAATCATTTGCCACATTCTTGTGGCTGTTCCACCATTTGCACTTACTTGCAAATGTGTCACAGATAGGTCCTGTCCTTACCTACGCAGTAGGCAAGGTACAGCTGCCTGTAGCAAGATGCAGAAAAGTTCTACCATGTGTATGCACTTTTGTGAAACTCCGTCTCACCTGTCCTGTGGTGTCTGTGCAGGTGCTAACATGGGCTGTGGTTTCTAGAGGTGGGTCAGGACTGGGAGTGTTGTTTCACGGTGTTGGGTCAGGCAGTTGCTAGCTTGGGCAGTGCGATTCCCTCTGCATCCAGCTGTGACTATAACCACCCCCTCTGTTAAACAGCTGAAGCTGGTGAATCCCTCGCAGTATCGCTTTGAGCACCTAGTGACACAGATGAAGTGGCGATTGCAGGAAGGCCGAGGTGAGGCCGTCTATCAGATCGGCGTGGAGGACAATGGGCTGCTGGTAGGCCTCTCAGAGGAGGAGATGCGTGCCTCACTCAAGACGCTGCGCCGCATGGCAGAGAAGTACGTGTTCCCTTTCATCTGCAGGGCCCGCAGCCATAAACAGCCTCCAGTAGAGAGACTGCCCCAGGAGTCCCCTGGGGAGCCGGTGGCTCTGTTCTGCAAAGCCTCTGTATGACTGAAATTCCCTCATCATGAGGTTCTGGAAATGCGAAGGCTCTTTTCCTGCTTTCATCCCATTCACTTTGCCAGCTTATAATTCTTGAGGTGCAAGAGCTGCCAAATACAAGTGTGTCTCACCCATTTCTTTCATGTTTGTGGCAGGGTTGGGGCTGATATTACGGTGCTGCGGGAGAGGGAGGTTGATTACGACAGTGACGTTCCCAGGAAGATAACGGAGGTGCTTGTCCGAAAGGTGCCTGACAACCAGCAGGTAGGGACCTGTGTCTTGGCCATCCTCTCCTGCTAAACACTTAGAGGCTTCATGTAAGCCACTTCCTTTTGGGATGGGAGCCCAAACCCTAGAGGCACTGTGTCATAGATTGGTCCATATCAGATGCTTTAAAGAGCTGCCAGAGGGAGGTTTGATGATAATGCTTTTCATCTCCAAGATTGTGGTTGAGGCAGATACCAGAG